TTAATTAAAAGGAGGGCAAGTCAAATAAAAACAGATTACAAATTGCCCTATGTTCAGGCATATGACTTGTGATAGCAGAAATGGCCTTACAGAGAAAGAGAAATTAACATCTTAGATTAAAAAAAACATATGTAACCATTGTTCTTTCAGATTTGGAGACTTCTAACTGTAAACCATAAAAGCAATATATTCAAACTAGAGCATTTTTTTATCTGAGTACTTTTACAAATACCTTTCTAAGTATATGAAAGACATCCGTGGGTGATTCATCCCTGGCATTTCTGACTAGCGCGTGTTGCCGAGCTGCCTTGCTAGGAAGGGGTGCAGGTAGTGTGTTTGACACACTCCTCGTGTCCCTTGGCAGACTGGTTTTCATCTCTTGCCTTTGTTGGTGATTTTTCTTTCTGTGCTTGGAAGGCCTCAGATCTTTTGAGGTTTGCTTGAGAAAGCAGTTTTCCACATTATGAAGATTAGCAGTTAAAGCAGCTCGCAGCATTTCAAGATGGTGCGTTCCATGATGTAATGAGATATATTCTTGGTCTGAGCAGGGAATTAATGACTTGTAATTTGCAGCTAATACAAAATGAAACAAGCACATGCCAGATGTAGGATGCTGAGCCTTGCCATTTAATTAAGGAGGAACTTAAGAGTGAAATGAGGGTTAAAAGCCCAGAATAGACTGATTATTGTTACACAACAGTGAACAGATAGGTACATATCGGAGATGCAAAAAGCTGAAATTAGTATTGTGGAATTTGCACTGCTTGTAGATGACAGAGCTGGTAGGTATGGCTTGAAGCAGTCCTGTAGTAGCTTTTATTGTTAGGAAGATGATTTACTCTTTCTTGTATGCAGATGCATTATTCCGTAATTTTCAGCTATCCTGCCCGCTATCTGTATATTCAGAGGAAAAAGTTTGGGGAGAATTTGTCACAGCAATTTACAGACTTTTGGTTTTGTTTTATTTTAAATTGTATTTTAAAACAATAATGATCAGACACTAGATACAATAAAAATTTATCTTTGAAGATTGTAGTACTTGAAACCTGACTATTAAATAATGAAAATATCAATACTGAGAAGGGAATTCTTAGGGGTACAAAACAAGGAAATAAAATTAAAAATTAGAACTGTTTTAGTTATTTATTTATTTGTCTTCAGGACCCATGCTAATTTTTAGTCAAGGAAAAAAAAAAAATCTTGTGGGTTTCTTAAAAAAACGTTCTTCCTTGATAAATTTTACTATGTAAAGAAGGATTCATATGGTTATGTGTTTTGACTCAAGGATTCTTTGAGGTGATCTGCAGGGAAATGATGCTTTTTTAAAACTAGCTGTGTAAGAAAAGCTGTTTACATTTAAGAGAGCCTTAATTATAAGCTGAAAAGCTTAAGTAGCCAGCTCTGCATCTATGTACGTAGGAGAATTTAGGCACACATTATAATGTCAGCCTTATTAGTGCAAAAGGTTTGAAAGTCTTATGAATAACAAAATACTTAAACTGATTAAAGATACAGCCACTTAAGTAATTTGTATATGATGAGATTATCCAGCGGTTACATGACTGAAAGACAGTAGGCTTGGCTCTGTTTTCTTTATGCTTTCTTTGGTTCAGATTCTTGCTATTCTTAATCTATTTCTTTGATTGGAGTTCATGTTATAAAATTCTGCAGAAACCTTTTCAGTAGGTGTCATTGTAGTGCTTTTTATGTTGATCTGTCCAAGTTAATTCATTTTTGTGCATTTGAAGAAATGCACAATTTGAAGAAAATTGCTTGATTGTTTATAAATGTGTTGGGAAATGTCAGGTGACTGGTTCTTTAGCATAGTCTTATGTTGTGGTAAACACACACAGTCACATATTTAATATAATACATAAATGGCTTACACCAGCTGGCTAGTCTATAACTCTGGCTGTATTGCGAATTTTTTTCTCTCATCCAAAATTCTGTTTCCTAGCTAAACCTTTGTGCATCTAAAGTTTTTTGTTTTGTTTTCAATGGTACACTGAATTAAAAATTAGTATTTGAATCTAGAGTTCTTGCCCTATCACAGGTAAAATTTGTAGTGCAGTGGAGTGTATACAGGATAAAACTGACAGGAGCTTAAGAAGCCTTTGACTATGCTTTTTTTTTTTCTGTAGGGCAAAAATAGAGGAAGAAAGAATTAGAATTAACATTTTTGAAAAGTGACAATAGAAAGTCATGGTAGGGTTTGTCTCTTTTCCTCTGTACACATGCATGTCTGCTCCCTGCATACAAACTCAACTTTTTTTGCTTCCTGTATGGGGTTTGCTGCCTCAGGGTATGCAAAACTGATTGTATGATTAGGTATGTGAATATGGTCTTGTTTGAATAGGTACTGCCCTTTTGTAAAATATATTTTTAAAAAATCATGGAAATAGCACCATGCTTCCACGCTCCTCTTAAAAGATATTAGATATTTATTCATTAATCTTACTCCTACAAGGAATCAAATCTGATAGCGTGCTAAATTACATGTTTGTTATCTTCACATTTTCTAAATCATTCTCCCAAGCACACTCGATAAAACTCTGCACAACATTGTCCAAATTTTCAGTAGTGTTTTATACACAGATGATTTAAACAGATGCCCTACGAAACCTATGCGGGAAGACTTATTCCTTTCCTGTCAGTGGGAGAAATTAGGATTCTAACAATTTTTATTAGAGGAGACTTGACAGTCCCTCTCCCAGGCTGCACGGGCCTTCAAATCAATCTGTGTCTTCATACAGCTTTTGACTTGACACCAGCTCCAGTACAGTTGCTTGCCCTGGTAGCTCGGAGGCAGTGAGAGCTTATAGCTACACTTGGTGTAGAATGAGGTGGTTTAAAAATCTGGTGCACTGGATTGAGACGAGAAGCATGTATTTGTAAAGCAGAATACTGAAGCACACAGAAGGAATTGCTACCACTGTTCTCGTAAGACAGACAAACGATCACAGACTTATTTTGGAATGTTATAGAAAAACTCTTTAAGTATTTAGTATTTCTCACAACTTCTCTAATACAAAATGGAAGTCCCTATTCATTAGATATCCTCAGCTGGTTTCATTTCCTTATGATCAAAGGTTTAGTTCTTTGCATTCAGGTTGGAAATTGTTAACTGAAGGTGTGAAAGTATGCTGATGGTAATTAGCATTGAGTTACATGCAGAAGTTACCGTAATCCATAACAATTTCTTATATGACTGTGCACGTTAGAAGAATTTCTTTACAAATTTGGCTCCTATTAAACTGCAGTTCATTTTTATACACAATTTTAGAGAACATGTGCTTTAAAAATGTCATTTAAGCATTCTGGTTAATAGTTTTCAGGTTATAAATGGTAAATGTGTAAATATTACTCCGCTCATCAGCTTTTGGTGAGTGGATTTCTTACCCCACACTAGATTAGATATGAAGTTCTTGTATTAAACTGTGGTAAAACCAAATTCACTGCTTCCCCGCATTATCTGTGTTTTCAGACAATAGGTCATTACAAAATAAACCAATGTAGTGTACAGCTCTTTTGTGACAAATGGATATGCCTTTTAGGTATTGCGTTGCAGGAGGTCATAACAGAGAGGGTAATTTGAGTGTATATAAACAGAAAGAGCAACTTTTTTTTTTTAAATGCAATACAACAAATTTATTTGCAATAAATTTATTGCAAATTTTTAAATTTATTTGCAATACAACAGATACTTTGGCTGTTGTCATGGAGTGGTGCATATATGCATGTTCCTTATAGCACACTCACTCGAGATTTAAGTGGTTGTAATTTTTTTTTTTGCTTTCTTCTAAAACTAGACTTGTTTCTGTACAAAGTTTTAATACAGTTTAGCTAATTAATTTTAAATGTTAATTTATCAAAGCTTCCCCAAGTGTCTTCATATAGATGTGATAATTTATTGCTTTTGAAAAATCATTCCTACTTTAATTTATACTTCCTGGTTCACCTGAAGATAGAAATTTCGTAAGTATAAAGGAGCAATTCCTCAATTCTTTATTTTCATTATAGAACATTTTTCTGGTGACATTTAAAATGGATCAAGTGATTTTTCTGTCTTCTATTTGTATTTTTGCATTGTTACACTTGTTTGTCACTTCAGTACCAGCATGTGTGATAATAAATTTGCCTGAGTTTCTAAACTTTTTTTGATCTTCTTTTGCGTTTGGTAGAGGTGTTTACAAACACCCAGAAATTTGCTAGCTTGAAGGTAGTACATGAGGTACTGACAAAATAGCCCAGTGAAATGCTTCTTGCAAGGGTTGTGTTATACAAACCATTTTTTTGAGCATGGGACAGCTGTTGCAACTTCATCAAACAGCTGCATCTAGACCTGTAGGCAACTGAATGTCTCTATGTAACTGTAGAGTTACAATAATGAATGTAAAGTAATCTTAGGGGGTAGTTCTTATTTTCAAAATATATAGTTGATAACAGCTTTTGTAGCCTTTGGAAAAGGATGAAGGTGGTGTTTCCTTCTTACTGATTTTTCTCATGATTCATTGATCAACTCTTTTAGATGGTTGGATGGTATTTCTTCAAATTCTTCAAGCTCTGTTTTCTGGATATTTGTAAAGATAGTTGTAGATCAGTGGCATCTGTGAATAGCTATGTTTATTACAGTATGTCTTATATATGCCAGCAACTTTGCTTTTGCACAAAACAGAATCCTGGAGATGCAGCCCTATTCTTCAACGCTTGTTAGAAATTCTTCACCCATGTTGTACTACATAGTTTATTTTCTGTTGTTGTTGGCTTATGATTCAGTGTTAATATTAAATCTGGAAATAGAAGCTGGAAAACTTGAAACACTGTTCAAACCCAGGACTCAAAACATTGTAAAAGTTGTGCAAAAATATAATTGCATTCTGAATATACATTTCAAATTCATATGTTTTAATGACTTCTTAAAGGAAAGCTTTTTTCAGTTGTAGAGAATTGCTTATTTTATTTTTACTTTTGCATTAACTAGAGTGTTCTTCCATTTCAGAATGTATGAAAACATGTCCACAATGGTGTATTTAAAGGAAGAGAAGCTGGAGAAGCTCACTCAAGATGAAATCATTGCTAAAACTAAGCAAGTGATTAATGGACTAGAGGCACTGAAGAATGAACACAATTCAATTTTACAGAGCTTACTTGAAACACTGAAATGTTTGAAGAAAGATGATGAAACTAATCTGGTTGAAGAAAAATCAAACATGATTCGAAAGTCACTGGAAATGCTGGAGCTTGGCCTTAGTGAAGCACAGGTAAAATTGCAGAAGAAATAAAGCATTTCAGACTTTGAGGACTTACTACTATTCAGTAAGGAAAATGTAATGTGCTGGGGCATTTATCTTGTTACTGTATGTTAAGGAGAAAGACTGCTGTAATTGATAGTGGTAGATACTGTCTTTCTGCATTACAGAACTAATTATGCATTCAGTATTAAAGCACTGGAGCTCATAACTAAGCTTCCCTTTACTTCAGTGAGACAGTTGCTATTTTCTGTTTAGACTTTTCCATGGCATTAGGCAGGTAATGTTTGAGCAGCTCAAGAACTGAGCATTGGCATTTTAACTCCTAAATTATTGCATAGGGAGTTGTCGCGCTCTCATGTGCGCACACACATGAATTTGCTCCAACCTTTGAGCTCTGCTGTAACCTTAAATTCATGTTTATATTCTCTTTGTCCTGAGATTCTTTATAGTAGCTCACAATGCACCTGGGGCTTAAGAATCTCTAATGTTTATTCAACATTTTACTAAACCAAAATTGAATCTAAAAACATTTAAAGGTTAAAAATTGAGTACAGAATCTGAAAAACTTTCACTGATACATTAAAGAAAAGACTCTGAGCTAATTTCTATGAACTGTCTTAGTCGATGAAGGTGGTGTCTGCAGAAGGTGAGTGAAAAGATGCATGTTTAGTCATGATGTCAGGACTGTATTTACAGTCCAACTTTAGGGTATTTTGTACTAAGTCAAACACTTATGTTTGAAATGATGTGATGCGACACAGTCATCAGTATAAAATGGCAGAGTGTTTGCAAATGAGTTGAAAATGTCAATGAGTTAGACCAATATAAAGCCTGTTAATATAGAGCTATAACTGTGCTCAGTCTTCTCATTTGGATCGAGCCATTATTGTTTGGTGATCTGGAAGTTGTGTGCATTGGATCATGGTGAATTGAGGCCTGAGAGAATAACAAATATGGATTACTAGACACGGGAATGTAGAACCCCTGGACATTATGGTACAGACTGTCAGGCCTTAGTATATTGTACAAGCTTTGATTCCTTGAAGAAAATACTAGAAGATACGTGGAAGAAAATTATGACAGTTGAGTTAACTTTGATGGGTGTTAGTAGAAGATCTGTGAGTGAATGAGTAACTTCCCTCTCCTAGCTTTGATGTGGTATTTGGACTCCAGAAAGATAGTTCTGATTCTTGGTTCTATTGGTTTCAGCAGCCTCAGTTGCGGATGTTACTGTCTTGTTTGCCCCACATGGTTTTCTGTGAACTGTGGTGGCGAGCAGCCAAGAAGTCTGCGTTTACTGCCTCTCTTGGGAAAGCAATTATGCTTCCAACTACTACTCAGACCTGATAAGCCTACTCTTCCTGCACGCTTTGGGTTGCAACAATGTGGTATTTTTTTTTTTATTTGCAGTATTTAAATTAAGATATAGAAATGTTTTATAGATGTTTTTGTGACATGGATATAGGTCGGATGTTGTAAGTGTTCTTTCCATGGAAAGGAAACTGACTTAGCTGAAGAAGTCATCAGACTTTTCTTTCAGTTAATTCTAGAGAGTAAGACTGCAAAGGATTTTAGTTTTCCGTTGTAGCTTGTACAAAGTTGTTTGAATATGTTGCTGACCCTGTTATCACAACTTTCCTAAATGTGCTTTCAGATGTTACAAATGCCAATGTTTGAATAGGCCATGTAATTTAAATTATTAACAAATTTGAATATGTAAATAGGTAGGTGCTGAAGTCTGAAGATTTGGACTGGTATTAGGAAATTATACCTGGAGTTTTTCCTACCTTTATAGGAAAAAATAGTTTCTAAAGGCTTGATGTATTTTTTTGAAAACTGAAATTTCAGCTAAGGGCACCATCTGTTTCACAGGAAACGTTTAGTTTAAAAACACTTCAGAGTAACTTTGCTTTAAAGAAACATGAAATTGAGGAGATAAAATACTAATAACTTGGGGATGTCAAACTCATCGAAAAGAAGATTTTTATTGTCGCCAGTTGCCCATTCTTAAAAGGTGTGCTTCCTGAGATTGCTATCAGCTCTTCCATGTGTGTCAGTAGGAGATTACATAAACAGTGGAGTATCTTCTGTATATAGTGTTTGGTTTTCACTTAACAAGCTCCTTTTTCATTTAACTTTGATCAGCAAAAAAATCAATCCAGGTAGACTGCTTTTATGGCTGCTCTTTTTTGTGTCCTTAATATGACTGTTCAAACACACTGAATGACTGCACACTGAAGTTTATAAAGTGCTATGTAAATTATATGTTCAGTTGCACATTTAGATCTCAGTAGTATAATTGTCCCTTTGAAGTATTATCATGCTGAGGTGTTCATCCTTATGGACTGTTATGCACGTATATGAATCTTTTTCTGTCTGAAAGCTGCTAGATTAGAACTCTGTGTTAGTTCTTGGGGGTTTTTTTGTGATCCTTCAAGTTAAAAGTATTACTGCTCCATTTCATGTTAGTGGAACAAAGATTTCCATTTCAGTAATCTGAATCCTAGCTCAATTTTTTCATATATTTTAAGATTATATGTAATCTTCATGGAGTTCTAAAACAATTTAACTTCTGATAGCATCATGGAAAACAATCATTAGTGAAGAGTTCCTCTAGGTTAATTCTGGCTGAACAAATGGTAAAAAAGTTTAGAGGAAATGTGAGAACCAGATATATAAACAAGATAAATCTGACTGTTTACCAGACTTCACAGCTGTTTTAAATAATAAAAGGCTTTCATGTTAAATACAGGACTGCAGTCTAGAGGAAGTATGTCATGTGACACCTTCTGCTTTTTAGGTAATGATGGCCTTGTCAAATCACTTAAATGCAGTGGAATCGGAGAAGCAGAAATTGCGTGCTCAGGTTCGCCGGCTATGTCAGGAAAATCAGTGGCTACGGGATGAACTAGCCAACACACAACAGAAACTACAGAAAAGTGAGCAATCTGTGGCTCAACTGGAAGAAGAAAAGAAACATCTAGAATTCATGAATCAATTAAAAAAATATGACGATGATATTTCACCATCAGTAAGTATCTGTGTAGTAAAAAGCACCTTACATTTACATGTGTTGTAATCTGCCTAGTTTTTATTTGTCTCTAACATAAACTTGTCATTAAAATGCTCACCTTGTAGCAGTGTCATATAGTTTGCAGAAAGATTCTGATAGTTCAGTTCATTTGTATGTTACGAGAGTAAATGTTTTACTGTCTGTAGATAACAAAATATATATGAGGATCAGAATCTATAAATACTTACTCAGTATCATATTAGCTTAAAAAAGTACTGAGCCAAACAAAAAACTTCCTTCTGTAAATTCAACAGTTAAAATAAGTGGGGAATGTAAACTAATAGAGATTCTAAGTACCTAGGGGACTTGGCTTATTTTGACTGCAAGAAAAAAAAATATTTTTGTCTCATTAAATCAGTGTATAGCTTTTATATCTTTTGAGAATTTAGGATAGGATTTATTGAAACCCCTCTCAGGACCTTCTGCCAGACATTGTGATCGTCTGCACATTTTCACTCGTGTTAAGCTAGCCCATTGTGTTACATATTCTTAGATTCAGAGAGAAAATGGATACAATTTTAATTTACAGAAGTAACTTACCATTTAAAAAGACTTCTGAGTTATTTGCCCTTCTTGTTATCCTTTTATTTTGTTTCCTTAAGTCAGATAGGATTGTAGAGAAAGATCTCATTTTGTGTGTTTAGACCTTCTCAGCTGTGCCTTGAAAAGAACAGTTTTTCATAAGCAATTATTTCAGCAACATAATGATTGAAAATGTATGCATTTTAGTTACGCTTAACTGACTGCTTGACTAAATCCTTTTTAACATATTGTGAGTAATGGGAGTTGTTTTGGTCAGTTGCACGCAGAACTTTTCAGTGCTATTTCATGAGTTGGTATTTGTAGCTGAATACTGCCAGTGAAACCTGTTTAGAGAAGGCACAGGAGGAGGGGACTTGGGGATTTTGATGTGCTAACTGTTGAACTGTCATCTGCAGATGGCCTAAATAGCACCATTATTTGAAGTTTAATTGGCAAATAGGGTCAAAGTAAGCAAAGCATCTTTATAGTTTCACTATCCATGTGGATAGTCTCTGTTACTAGCCTTTGAAAATAGTCAGTTGTATATACTCAGTATGAAGTTGGAATTGGCACACTTGAAATTACGAACTTCCCATCTGAGATCTAGTCCCATCAATCTGCTGTTTTTGCAGAGCACCCACTTTGCCACCATTGAACTTGAATGCCAGCAGCAGTTGTCTTTTTCTCGTCTGCGGAAAAAGGTGTTGGATGGAGAGTCATAAAAATAGGAATGTGTTCTGCTACTGGGTTTTCTCCTTACCAAAATTAACATTTCTGAGAACTTCAATTATTTATATTGTGTAGACTCCACATTTAAGAAACAGGATTGAGGCATGATCTGTTTCTTTATTTTACATGATTATGGGATTTGGAATGATCTTTGGATGTTGAAAATCAATATCCACTGATGGATTTTGCAGAAATTAATATGGTTCCAGATGGAGACTATTGGAGATGAACTTCCTTCCAAGTGGCTTTTTTCTTTTTGAACCTTACAGATCACAATTGCAAAATCTATTATTTGTGGAGAAATTGAATAATCAGAAATTGAGGTCTCCTTATTCCTCTCCCTTGCTCATCTAAAACTGCATCTACAACTGAAAACATACAATGGACAATTCTGTATTCAGTAGCACTCACGCTTCACTGGGTACTTTCATTAGGTATAACATCTCTGTAAGAATAGGAAATGGGTTCTTGTGTTCTTAAATTGAGACTGAAATCTAGGAGACCTGATTTCTATTCCTGGCTCTTCTGAAGGTGTCCTGTATTGTTTTGGGACAGAGTATGTAAATACATTTGAAACTCTCATAAAACTTCTATAAGAAATGTTAGTCTTGTCAAGTTTGGATGTGGGGTTTTCCTTTAACATTGCCAATTAAATGGACTGTCCCTTTATGCCTTAGATTTAAGTGTAACGATTTGTTTGGGGTTGTTCTACAGGAGGATAAAGATACGGATTCCACCAAAGAGCCTTTGGATGACTTATTTCCCAATGATGAAGATGACCAGGGACAAGGAAGTAAGTGCACTTCAAAGTACAATGTTAGTGTATTTCTGCAATGCAGAATATAAAGATGCTCTTTACAAAAATGAATCCATGCTTGGGATCCTTTGGGACACAGTGGGAGCAGTGCTGCTAGAACGAGGAAACCATTGATAGACATCGATATGTACAGAACTGGGGCCTAGGTTTTTAAAGTTTACTGCTGTTGTAAAGTTCTTGGGACTGACTTCCGTTTGAAGTTTGTCCCACAGTCATTCCTCTGGGCCTTAGAATGGAAAAGGTTTGTTCCAAGTGACTGAGGGAGATTCTGAAACACTGAGGCTTTTTGATGGTCTGCCCAGATGTTGAATTCTGTTAATTACCTTTTTTAATCATCTGATTTAACATTTTGGTGCAGGTTTCAATATTAAGTCTTTCTCTCATAATCTTTTGTCCTTTGCTTAGTTTTACTACTCATTCTACAAGTATTGTCTTCAGGTCAGAGGGACTGATGAATATGCAGTGAAGTTTGAGGTAGAGGTTTGGTAGCGTGACTTGATAGAAGCCATAAATAGATAAGCCTTGCTTAGTGAAATGCTGTGTTTTCTGTACAGGTGTAAAGCTGATACTATATAATGTATTGCATTCTTGATAGCATGGTAATGCTTTCCATAGCCAGCAATGGAAGGAAGACTTGAATAGGTTAGTGTTGACCATGGACTCCCTCCTGAGCTCATTCTTGCTTCCCTAGAATTTTGTAGTAGGAAAGTTGAATGACAAAGCTGTCTAAATACCTGTGTAGTCCATCTACCTTAGTTTGCTTTACAAAAGACAAAGTTGACATGTCAATAATTTCCTTGACCTCCAGGAAAAATACTGAAATGCTTCAGTGCTTTGGTGGGCCGGTGATTGTGGGTGTAGGCTTGGAATTGTATGATTCCACTGGCATAAATTCCACACACAGCTTCCGCTTGCTGTGAGAGTGTTTTTTGTTTAATAGAAAGGACAGAAGAAAGTCAGACTCAGAGCTGAAGCCCTTATCCTATGTGTTGTCTAGAATGTAATGAAAATGAGTAAGAGGGGATTCTCAATCTTCACAGAAATCTCCCAGGTGAAGAGAAAAAGGGTAGTAGATTTTGTGGAGGAGTGGGAGGGTCTGAGTTGCAACAACCAAAGGTTAGGAGCTACTGGAGAATAAATGGCTAAGCCTGCGGGTTAGTAAGTAAAACCTAAAGGTTGACACTGGCTTTGATGACTCTGCCTTTTCTCCTGCAACTGTTACTTGCGGCAGCCAGGGTGTTTCAATCCACACAAAGTGCCAGCCTTGAGTACTCCTTGGTATAGCAAACAAAGGGAAACAGAAAAAAACTGTATGTTTAGAGAAGGAGAATAAAGGAAAAAGGACAAATCATTTCAGCTTTTCTGCAGGTATCTTGTTTGTCTATGTTACTGTCCCTTTCCATAGGGAAATGTTGATATTTGTAAGCGCAAAATTATGGTATAATCTTGAGAATTGTTAATGATTTGCTGATCTGAAGTAGTTTCCTACTTTCTTTATTGGTGTATTACATTTGGTCCTTTGACCTAATAGAAGTGTAAGATAATACAATACTGGGAATATGAGGAATAAAATGGTCATAATTTCACTGTCACCGTTCAAGACGGCATGACTGCGGTGAATTATGTTCTAATACTAATGCTTTGTATTGAAGACATAAAATTCAGTGAGTCTCATTTTGTGTCATTGAGCAGTAATATTAGATGTTTTAGTTAAAATCACATTTTTAGCAACCTGAAATCTTGTTGATTTCTTTCAGTTCAACAGCAGCATAGCAGTGCAGCAGCTGCTGCCCAACAAGGTGGCTATGAAATTCCAGCAAGATTAAGGACCCTTCATAATCTTGTTATTCAGTACGCTTCCCAAAGTAGATATGAGGTTGCTGTACCTCTCTGCAAGCAAGCTCTTGAAGATCTGGAGAAGACTTCAGGTCATGATCATCCTGATGTTGCCACTATGTTGAACATACTTGCTTTGGTGTACAGGTTTGTATACTGACATAGATAAATATCAGTTAAATAAACAGTTAATATTTGGGTACAACCTGTTACTGTTCAGACTATCATTTTTTAACTGTTTTATTTTCCATTCCATGTATTTTCCATTCCCTCAAGAGGGTCCTGCAATATTTATATGTCTCCCTATACTTAAAAGCCAAAAAGTTGGTGCTTTTTTGCCTGTGCCTTTGCTTTGAGAGTGAAGCTGGGTTTGATACTACTTTTTTTTTTATGTCTACTGAGGGGACATGTCGTGATTAACAATTTACAGATAATTAAAAAGAAATAGAGGCACAAATTGGACAGCATTGTAGAAGCAGTACATGATAGTCCTCAACCAGCAAACTACTTTACAGTTACAGGCTTCAGATTTTTACCTCCTAATTCCTGAATATATTCTCAATTACTCTTTTTACTCTACCATCTTTAGGCCAGTACTGAAGTCAGCTTTGTATTTATGACTTTAATTTCTGAATCCTCAGTATTAATTATGACTCTCTAAAATTTAGAGACCAGAACAAATACAAAGATGCAGCAAATCTCCTGAATGATGCCTTGGCTATCCGCGAAAAGACTTTGGGCAAAGATCATCCAGCGGTTTGTATAAATGCAATATCATATTTTTAGTTGTGTTTTTCATGGAATTTTTTTCAACTCATTCTAATATTAAACTCAACAGGAAAGTTTTTAAGACCTGGCTTATCTCTAAACAGTACAGGTAGGAGGCCACAATGTAACATTCTTCATTTTCTCTTAAATATTTACTGTACCTTTTGAGCATTATATTCAGTGCTGTTTCACCACAAATGACTTGCACATACTTGATTTCGGTTTGCATGGATTTTCTATGGGGAAATTAATTTGTGAAGAAAGATTTTTAATTTGCTTACTCAAATCACTTTTTTAAACTCAGATTGAAGGGCTATTTCTGATTTGTTTCACTGCTGCTTTTAAATGAAACAAATCAAGCTTTTGTACCTAGTGTTTAAAATTAATGTGATCTCTCACTTCATGTAGCCTATGTGAAGCAGAGCAGCTTTGAGTATAGCTATGAGAGGTAACTTTGTAAGAGAAGAACATATGAGGAAAATGTTATGCACATGACATTTCCATAAATGAAGCAAAAGTATTTTGTAATTTTGTTTTTGTTTTTTTTTTTTTTCCTCATTTGTGTATGTCTGCATTCAGTAATAATTATTTCTTCATTTGCAAATTTCAAGAGGTCTACCCTGTGCATGGAAAATTTGGAAACGTCAATGCATTGCAGATGTGTTCATATGTCAGAGATTTGTATCGGCAAATTCTAGTGTAATTAATATTTCTCTACTGTTGACAGGTGGCAGCAACTCTAAACAATCTTGCAGTACTTTATGGTAAACGAGGGAAGTACAAGGAAGCTGAACCGTTGTGTAAGCGAGCTCTGGAAATCAGAGAAAAGGTACGAGTAAAAGAATACAGAACCTTTGAATGGATTTTTTTTTTTTTTTGAGGGAGAGGGCAGTGTTAAGCACTTCTACTTTTATTAAATGTTTTGGTTGGGTAGATCTGCCAGATAAACCACAGAGTTAGCAATGCCGTAGTAGCTAGCAGTGTCTGAAATACAAAATAGTAGTAGATTCCAGTAGTGCTACAGAGCTGTTAGAGCACTATATTCTAAATTCTGTATTTTGTAATTAACCTGCTTTACCTTTTTCTTTCCCCTTTGATAGTCAAGTATTCTTTGATTTGACAAGAGCATTGGAATTAAAAACGAAACCATTAAAATTTTAAAGTTGATTATTCTATGATGCTGTGGATATTTGTTCTAGTCCATGAGGCTGAATGCCTGCATCTTCACGCTTCTTTGTATAACACACTGTATATAATGTTATTATACCACTTAGGTTATTCCTGTTACGATTTGTTCTGCAGCATTCTCAGTTTGTAATAGAATTGAGTAATTTTCCTATCTTTCAAATGCAAATTTTACTTTTGTCATCCTCATGTTGAATTGATGAGGAATAAAACTAACAGGGTATTTCTAAATGATGCATTTCTAAACCATGATATGATGATTGGAGAATGTTTTAATACAAAGTATTTCATTTTCAGGTTCTGGGGAAAGATCACCCTGATGTTGCCAAACAATTAAATAACTTGGCTTTACTATGCCAGAACCAGGGTAAATATGAGGAGGTTGAATACTACTATCAGAGGGCACTGGAGATTTACCAAACTAAACTAGGACCAGATGATCCAAATGTTGCAAAAACAAAGAATAACCTGGTAAGCCTTTTATAAAGTAAATCTGAGAAGTAGTAAAATTTTCTGATGAATTGAAATGCACCTTTATTCAGTATGTATTGTATTTATTGTTTATGAAGCTATATAAAACAGTGTGCTGATCTGTATTTTTGGGGGTATTTTATTTTCAGGCATCCTGCTATCTAAAACAGGGCAAATTTAAGCAAGCGGAAACTTTATACAAAGAGATTCTTACTCGTGCTCACGAACGGGAATTTGGCTCTGTAGATGGTAAGAAACTTAGTCCCTAGATTTGAATGTATGTTTCATTTTTGTAGCTATTATGAAATAAAATCTGCAGGAAGTTAATTGTATACTGATTAAAATTATTGTCTTCTTGATGTAGACTTAAAAAGTGAGATTATACATGTGTTGAATTACATTCATCGTAAGAAAGTATTTAGATACAGCAGTAACATTTGATTCAAAAGGAGAGGTTTTCTTACATGAGGTAGACTTGGTAGGTTTATATTTTATGGATTGTATTTCTGGCATAATACATGTTACACCAAGTCAAAACCAATTTTTGTATTTTTATAGAGGCAGAAAAATGTATGTTACTGTCCAGTCACAGGAAAAATTCAGTGCAGAATATTTAATGGTATAATAAATATGTTGTTAATGTGAGTTCTCCATTAATACATTTAAAGAATGGGGAAAATACCCTTAAACTGTGAATTACACTGTATGTTGAAGTCAGATGCATTTTTTCAACTATAAATCACAGTGAAGAATTTTCATGGGATTCCATGACAGTAGCATATGCACCACTTAGTAGATGTCAAAAGAGTTGTTACGATAAAAGAAATAAATGCGTATTTTCTAGCACAGAATGAGGCACATGACAGATTGATGGCAGCATATACTGACTTCAAAGCTTCTCAGAAGTAACTGTTTCTAAGTTCAGATAAGAAAAGAAGACAGAATTGTAAAACTATAAAAGAAGAGGTGCATGTTTTATTTATCAGCTGCTTGTAGTATGAACTGCAGATTTTTTGTGGTGATAATAGTATAATTCTCTGGTTCACACTTCATTTCAGAAGGGTGAAAATCAAACAGTGAATACGTTGTAGTTTTGTACTTCTATAAAATATTTTCTTCTGTTTCATCAGATGAAAATAAGCCTATTTGGATGCATGCAGAAGAGAGGGAAGAATGCAAAGTAAGGCTGTTGTCATAAATCTTTTTGGAGCTCTTACTATTTAAGTTACAAATCAGTTATTTTTCTTCAATGTTACTTTTTTTTTAGGGAAAGCAAAAAGATGGCACATCTTTTGGAGAATATGGTGGCTGGTACAAAGCTTGCAAAGTTGACAGGTGGGTCATTTCTTTACAGGACAAACAATGTTGCCATACCCAATATCCAGAAATGTCAGATTGCAGCATGTTTAAAAATGAAACCAAACCAGCTGCTTGCTTAGGACTATAAAAACTACAGTATTAAAAATTCAGCCCCCAGGACTGGGTTTCAGGAGCACAGTAGCAGTTTTCAAGTACCAGGGCTGCTTTTAATCTAGGCTAGTTGGATTCTAGTAAGTGACATAAAAATTCACCATTTGTGTTCTTGGCAGTCCTTCATGTGGAAACATAGGTCACCTTTCTTTCTTTCTATACTGTTGGTTGGCATACGTGCTCTCCTTGCCCCAGCAAGACCTCTAGAGAGGGATAGAAGCAAAAAGGAGACTGTGCAAATAGTTGATCCTTGAGTTTTCTGGCTGGCGCAAGAAAGAAAGTTAAACTGCCACTATCTAGCATTATTTGAGTTTCTAAAGCTTGAAGGATATAGTTTTGTGTGAATGAAAATGTGTACCTTAAAATGGAAGAAGAGAAACAAGAACTTCAGCTTGGATTTTTTTTTTTTTTTCCTAACCTTCAGGTGGTACAATGTAAGAAAAAACCCGCACCTAGTACTGATAATGTTCAGTGAGGGTTTTTTGTTTCTTCACTGTTTGAATTCTTGTATTTAACAAGCAACAGAATCTTTGCACTGTTGAAATTCGCTCTTTTTTCTCCATCCTGAACTCTGGGTGCAATACATTTTGTTGGTTTGTTTTTCATGTACTAGTTCATGCTAATGCATCAAGAAGTCTTTTCTCTGCTCTTACTGGAGCAAAACTTCAAGCAATGAGACTGTGACTGAGCTAATTCTCATGTCATTGAAACAAAAATGTCTTGTTGGAGTGTGAGACTTGTTAATGGAATGTGTGTGTTTTGTTTTGTTCTTTCCC